ACCCTATAGAAAATCAGGGAAATCGAAAAATATGTAGTATGAATTATTGCCCTTGTTCTTGAAAACGCGTTCAATTTTAGCTCGTAAACATTCTAGGAGGCACAATTCTTGACTGTCATAATAGTAAACTTCAATTCTTTTCTTGTCCTTATTAGCCAAGACAGCTGCAATCAAGTATACTTACAAATCCATTGCATTTTATGCAAACTAATCAAATCTTCGAGAAAAAAAATGTAAGGATATAAAGATATTAAATTCAACAGGAGAAAAAAGGTGGTAAATATTAGCAACTCCCACCTGTCATAAACTCGATACATAAAACTTTAAAAAAAATATTTCAACCTAATTTGCTTGAATATAATCTGCAAATACACAATTCATGACAGACTTATTGAAATCACCCAAGGATAAATCTGATTATTCTACAAAGCAGAAGTCTAAAACAAATTTGACAACTTGATGAAATTGATCACAATCAAAACTAAACCTTTTGAAATATAAAATACAAGTTATTGCCGTTATTCTTACAAATGTGTTTGATTTTTAACTTGTGATGGCACAGTTTGTGATGGATTTGGGTATAAGTTGAATATTTCCTGGTGTCTATGTTTGCTATTTTCTAACAAATATTCAATTTCAAACAAAGCTATCAGTGGGCGTATATTACCTTGCCTGGCAAGCTATCTTTACAATCTACCTGTAATTTCTGACCTGAAAGCACTTGAAAAATTGAGAAATTTGAATATTCATAGCTCACTTTTTTCAATCCAATTTTTCAATAATTTTGCAACTTTTTTAGTTTTTGCATCGATTGTTCTGAAATTATAAATGCAAAGAGACTTCACTTATGTAAGTAATATGGTACAGTCAAATTTTGTACGTCATTTCCGCTTTTTAACAGGAAAGCAACTGAAATTCAAATCTACTTCTGATTGAATAACTTCCGGTGTAATTTATGTAGGTCAACAAAATTTAGCTGATCTTTAGCAAATAAAATTCTATGGCCGATTTTAAAATAAAATCCATTAGGGAAGTGATACTTTGGCCGCCATTTTGATTTTCCTGAAATGCGTCAAAATCTATACAGAGATAACGGCTTATCTGATTTAGATGATTTTG